TCAAACCATAATAAATTATTTCGGCATATTATCTTTGATCTTATTTCTCATTACTATATGTTAGATGCTTATATTATGTAGATTCTTAATATAATCCCAATCACTTTTAAATTCTTTACTTGATGGCCTTACTCGCTATACTAATAAATTTATCTACCAAAAATAGCTTTTAAAAGGAGTATTGTTAAGATATATACATTTATAATTCATGTCATATCCACAATTCCACATTTATCTTTATTTTTATTTATTCTCTGTATTTAAATTAGCCTGTAAACGATCAAATAAAAACTGATGTTATAGACAAAAGGATGACACTTCCAGAGCCTTCGAAATATGATTGGGGTTCACCAACCATTGCGGGAATGGACCAAGCTTCCAATCGTTCTTCCTCCAATTTGCTTACACCGCTAGTGACAAGGCGTAGTCGCTTCTCTAGCTTACGCCGCTATGCATTTATGCCGCCAAGTGGAAATTCCACACTCAATGAGGAAGCCGAGATGGAGACGAATGGACAGACTGCCAACAGTCAGATGAATACAGGGCTGAACAAAGGGAAGCTGGTTTCCACCAAAACCACTCATTCTTCCCCTAATAGAGCCTATCTTCGTCCAGGAAATGGAGTTTGCTCGTTTTCTGCTGGCAAAGTGTATAATATGGCTAGAGTTCTCGATGCAAACCGAATTGAAAAGTTAAAGCTAATAGTTCAAGAGTTTGAAATGGTATGCGTTCTTAAAAGTTAATAAATACTATAATCACTGGATAATTAGTTTAGTTAATTGTAAAGCGAATATTATTTAAAGCTAAATAGCAAATTCGACAAATAAAGTCATAGATACAATTTATAGGGAATTAATACTCATTGACATATTTCCTCTTCCAAAATGCATGACTATGGTCCGTAATTTGAATTATTATTGATAACTTATTTCCAGTTTTAAAGCATAAATCGAAAAGTAATTTGGCTCAAGCTATTCTTTTTACAAATAATCTCATAATTTATCTTGTCTAGATTCAAAGATTAATTTTAAAGATGCAGGCTCAGGCGATGTATTTCGAGATTCAGGTGTATTTCTCAGTATTTCACAATACGTCAAAATACAGAGATGTCCGTAAATTAAAAAAAATTTTATTTAATATAGTAAAAAAATTAAAAAACTTAGTATCAATTACCAAATAAAAATCTCAACAATGAAATATAATGCATATAAAGGTGCAATGAGTAATCTACGAGTTCTAGAGTTTAAAGAAGCACTTTGCATTAACATGCCGGCACTTTAAACAATTGGATATGATACTCGATTAAGGCACAGACTGTAAAACCCTTCGTCTTCCAAAATATCGCCTCATTTAAGGTAGACTATAGTTATAAACTTATCTAAGACTCTTCAGAACCCCAGGATCTCTACATATCTGCGTCACCTTAAAGGAAGGATTGGCCACTCTCACTTCGCATCTATGATGAGAATATCTATGTAGCATGTAGATGTTAGAAATCATCAAACAAATTTTTACTGTAAAATCAATAATTAATTAATTATAATTATAATTGTATTGATAGACCCGAATTTGAAATTCGAAAAGTTTGTGGTTCTATATTTTCTTGCCTTTGCGCTAACTAAGTTATAACATACAAATATATAATAAAAATATGTATTATCTTTGGTGAACAATTCAATCAACTAAGCAATTGGAATATTATGCAAAATACAATTGCAAATAAATTTTGTTTATAGCTTACATAGTAATCATGTCTAGTTTGCTCCTATTCTTAAAGCTTAGTTTGAAAGACAAATTTGCATGCATTTTATGTGTGTATGCGTGTATGCATGTATACATGTATATACATATATATATGTATGTACGTACGTACGTACGTATGTATGTATGTATGTATGTATGCATGTATGCATGTATGCATGTATGTATGCATGTATGTATGTATGATGTATGTATGTATGTATGTATGTATGTATGTATGTATGTATGTATGTATGTATGTATGTATATATGTATGTTTGTATGTAAGTATGTATTTATGTATGTTTGTATGTAAGTATGTATTTATGTATGTATGTATGTATAAATGGATGGATGGATGAATGGATGAATGGATGGATATGCATGCATATATGTATGAGGAATTAGGATGCAACTGTCTGAGCAAATGTCATGGTTACACTCCCGCTTGGGGTATCGAAACTGCAGTCCACCTGGGATAAGAACATCATTTAGGAAGGCAAGACTGTGAAGATGTGAAGACCAAGATGTTGTGGCCTCGGGTATGGTCGCAGTCTCCTTTCGACTTATAGAAGTAGGTTGACCTCGTTGCCGCAACTTGGTCTTGTATTCAGGGAGACTATGTAGGACGCACCGAGTCCGAAGTCGTCTGCCATAGTAGTTGTCTTGATTTCCAGCATCTGACAGTGTATCAAGTCCACTGTCAAATGCTGGGAATCAAGACAACTACTATGGCAGACGACTCCCTGAATACAAGACCAAGTTGCGACAACGAGGTAAACCCACTTCTATAAGACTATGTGAAATTTAATGAAAAATATCAGCTCTACTAATATCATTGTAGGAAAATTCAATCACAATTCCTTAGTAACCCTAAACAAACTAGGGTGAACACAACTAATATTAGGTAAAGAATGACTATTTGCTATTAGTTTACCTAAAAATCCGGAATAAGACTTTTATACAAAATATTTTTGATCTGTGCAGGAGCTTCTAAAAAGTTGGAGGCGAATAAAAATTATACACTCATTACTTATAGTGTGGAAATAAGCCCTGCGACCCAATACTTACAATCGTTCACTAGATGAGTTAGCGCATTTTTCTTTTGGGTTAGTACGCTATTTAATTTAGAATTGTACTCAGTTAAAAATTATTATGGACAAATTGTGGGCCACAATGGTACTTAGTTATTTATAGGTATTCATATACTAGACTTTCTAAACGGTGACATATAAAAGCTGTAATTTGAGGATAAGCTAGTATATTGAAGTTCCTCTTCGTTAAGGGGTTAACCACCCCTCATTATACCGTTCAAATATCTCATACCCATAAAAAGCTTAAATAAGATATGCTGTTAACTTTAAGAGAAGAAAAGACTAAGAGAAACAACTTTAGCGTATCATTATTTGAAATATTCGATTTCCTTATTAATTATGTAAATAGAATTTAGATAGTAGATTTGGGCCTCCGCTTACTCATTTCCCTGGGGAAAATGTGTCGCATAAATAAATGCAAAATTCATATATCAGAAAGCCTCTGTGCCAGCTGGAATTCGAAAGGCTATATGCTTCCAACTGATTTATAACCCAAGTACCTTCAAGAAGATGATTTCGCTTGAATTATTTCGACTTCCAAATAATTTCTAGATCAGCAAGCTAAGCTATCTAGGAAATAAATTGATATATATATTTTTTTTAGATTTTAAGATGTTAATTATGATAGAATGGAATATTAATTTATTTATTTTACCATCCAACAAAATATTTCCAGAAGGCAGAACAACTTAGAGGTAAATTATTCTAAGTTAAATTAAAATTTCAAAAATATTAAAGAGGATATATTATGTCTTTCAAGAAGTTCCATTTACTCAGCAGAGCCTTATATTCGTCAATAATAAGGCGATGTAAAAAGAAAGCTGCATAATTTACAAATATATACTTTAGATTTACAACCCACATTTAAGGAAGAAGATGAAGTTTTATTAAGTAGCCAACTAACCTAGAATACTGACGTTCTTCTGAATATGACCCATCCATATATTGTTGGAGGCCATAGTGCTTTCTAAACAACAATTTTATCTTTCGTAATTAAGTAGACTTTTGAGACTTCCAGTAAATCAGTAATATGGGATGTATTCACCATATTTCGTTTAAGGTGGTAGTAGAATTTTCCAAGGTCGGTTCCACCAGAAGACGACAGCGGATTCCTCTTGACCAGCTGTCGATTGGCTTTGCTGGAAGATTCATGCTGACGCTGTTTCCGAGGTTATCTCCTTTGATTCCGGTGAAACGGTGCTAAGCTTTCGTCCGTCATATGATGAACATCATCAGAGGAAGGTATCATTATCACAACCAAATTCAAGCTAACGAGTCCAGAATCGAAGGAGATTACCTCGGAAACGACGTCAGCATGAATCATTCAGTAAAGCCAATCGACGGCTGGTTAAGAGGAATCTTCCGTCGTCTTCTGGTGAAACCGACCCTTAAATCTCTTCACTCAACACTTTCACTCGAAATGGAAGTAAGCTAAACAATTATGAAATAAGCGATTCCTTGAAATCCAACTTTTCTTTAACTGTAGAGTTTGTCCACAATGATATGATAGAACTGACATTTCTATTAAATTTCACAAAGCCTTGCTTTCCAAAGAGTTGTTCTTATCCGGACAGGAGTGGACTGTAGTTTCGACCTCACATAGGTCTTATCAACACCCCCAGCGGGAGTCGAAACGTGACAGTGCAGAATGGGTGCTTGATACGTTGGGTCACAGGGCAGATGTGAATTTCAAGGAAGGCCAGGCCTTTTGTCATATAACTTTTTTGGTGGGATTGTCGATGAAGCAAGCGTATATTTCTATAATAATCGACTGAAAATTCACATCTGCCTCGTGACTCAAGGACACTCGTGGCAATGTGGACGAATGGTTAACGTATCATGCTCTTATTCTGCACTTGCACGGTTTGACTCCATCTACGGGTGTTGATAAGACCTATGCGAGGTCGAAACTGCAA